ATGAACAAGCTATCATAAATTTAACTAATAATAGTAGATTATGTCATTAGGAGTAAAAGTGATTGTTTATGTGGCGAAGCTGAACGTTCATTTTGCCGAACGGAGTGGACAAATGGATTCAGCTGAGCCACATAAACTCACTTTTACTCCAAATAACATATACTATTTTATCTGCAAACGATTCAGATGGAACGAAAAGAGTAATACACCAATAATCAAGTAAATCACCTCAATAATCAGGACGCTTTGCAATAAAATCATAACAAACGTCAAGCGTCAGTTTCGGAATGTGTGTTGAGATTTAGAAAGTGTTGATTGATTTAACTGGTGAATAACTGGTGTAGTTTATAGTGCAAAATGTCGAATGCTGATAATCTACCTTGTACCTCTCCAGAAAATGCTGAAAAAGCGAAAGGGACAAGAAAGAGACAACAATGGTAAATGTCAAAGTAAGTGTCAAGTAAAAGTGAAAACGCCTAGGCGTAAAAACAGTGTTTTTACTCCAGGTCTGAAAAGTAAAACTTTTACCTGTGTCATTTAGTCATAAAAGTGGTCACTTTTGTGACGTTTGCAGATAAAAAAATTTTCAATTTTGTGGACAAAAAAAAAATTTAAAAATTTTTTCCTCGTGCTATTTCTTAGGTTTGCGTAATAACCATAGAAAAGTTTTTGCCAAAAGATTACAAGACTAGAGACTTGAAGCTTCAAATGTATTTTTTAATCTACATAAAATTGAGGTACAGATTTTCAAAAATCACCAAGAACTTTAAGAAATTTTTTTGCTTTCCTAATTTGTTAGAATAGTATATAAAACAATTATGTACTATATTTTGTCGTTTTGAAGTATTTGAGTTATTAACAAATTATTTTTCAAGGAGTTCTTCTCTAAAAAGTTTAATAATAATAACATAAACGATGAATTGATCCATAAAATAAAATAATAGAAAATTTAAGACGTTTTTTACATTTAAAAGTCACATAGAGAGGTTGTAACACACGTTTTTTATACTATTTTTCTATTGAGCGTTTTTTAAATTGCATTTAATATTATATTCGCCAGTTAAAATTTTTGACATTTGACCTATGCGGTACCCAAATTTCTCGAAAATAGTTTAAATTGCATTAGTTTTGATGAAATACGTTGAACAGCAACAATTTCTCACTTAAAAACGGCAGTCTATAACGCCAGTGATGGCCAAAGTATTGCATAAAATTCGCTGTTACAAAATTGCATTTTGTGCAATGAAAACAGTTTCACAAAATGCTCATTGTAACACCGAAATAGAAAAACAAATAAAAAAATTGATTTGTTAATCTAATTTTTTAACACTTTGAATAACTTGATCGCCTTTAAGGCCAGCTTGTGTAAAGTGACAAAATACTATTAGATCGTTTTTGCTAATTGATTTTGTTGAAATCCGATGACCCGTGTGCGTCCATAAATTCGTCCGGTGCATCCGCTGCGATTTTTCTCGCCTCCTTGACATTCTTTTTTATTACCAAAGTCTGAGAGTCCCGTTCGGCTTTGGCCAGATGTCCTCTAATCGATATAAGCAATGAATAACAATCAGGCCGTCGAACAAAAATAAATTTGTCAATCTAAAGTTTAATTGGGGCTAGGATGGGCTGACGCGTCAGACAGACAGGCGGTGGAGGAGCCGCAGGTGTCTCTCCAGAACCGAACAACCGCATGATAAATGGGACCCTCGGTGTCATCCTTGCGATGGTATGGTGGTGCGTCCTTACTTTACGCCATCGGATCGTGGCTGCCGTCATTGATATTTATTATCCGTATAAATAACAATAACCGCTTTCTTATTCCGGTTCATTCGGAAATTTGCCTTGTGGAATTTAAAGGGGCTGACACTCCAGAACTTGGATTATGACGGATGAGACTCGAGGGCGGCCACACTCACCTAACATCCGCCCACTACCTGTCGCGGTATCGAATATTTTATTGCCGACGTCCACGGAGTAGGTACTTTTTTATTGTAGCTCGTATAAGTCTTATAACCGAACTGTAAAAACCATATAGCCCACTGGAGCAAAGAAAACACGTAAAGGACAACCAAGGACCAAATTCAATTACTGCAGTTATTACTCCACTTGATGATTTTTTACCTTTTTTCGGGTCGTAAAAACTGGCCGTTAGCCCATCCACACCATTGTGTTGCAAATTTTATCAAACCTGAACAAAAAATAAAAATAAATTTTGTTTGAATATTTTCTTTATTCAAAAACTCACAAAGCTTAGTCCAAGCTTTCAGTGAGTAATTTTCTTAATTAAAACCATAGATGAATACTTTATATAGGGTCTATATATGGCGTACCCATGTACAACCTTTTGAACTCGTATTCAGCAGCGCCTCTGTAGTTTGGACGCTGAACTATAGAGCAAAATGTGCCTTTTTTAAATGGTAAAAATAATGTTAATTGAGTATTTAGTACAGGGAGATAAGTGCTACTGGCATCTTATTAGAGATTAAACAAAAAAAATATAAGTTTATTTTTTTAAAGTGATTTATTAAAGATATTGAATCAAATTAGTTAACATAGGTGGTTTCATACTTATATGGATTATATTAGAACAATTATGTTCGAGAAGGAAACATAAACAGTCTGGGTTATCGAGTTCTTGTCACAAAAGGGTGTCGGCCGGAACAAATCTTCATATTTTTCCCATCAATGTCCACATTTTCATCACCAAAATTCACAAATTATTAGTAAAACTTCCTTTACTTGTACACCCAGCCACACATCTGTACACAATAACTGAATGAAAATCAAAAAATCATAACTACACGTAAGCACTTTGAACGATGTCACCGTCAAAATTTAATTTTTTCTATCAGAGGTGTCACAGCCTACCGCTAAAATTTTAAAATTTTGATTCGAGCGCCTCTGATGTTTGGACGCTAAATTAAATAGATAGACTGAATTCACCAATCTAAGAAACCATAGCATGATTAAAACACTGCAATTGACTCGAATTTTGCTATCACCGCTGTCAAAATCGGCTCATTCTGGACATTTCATGGTTGACGTTTGAAAAGTCATCTCATTCCCGTTTTTTTTCCGGGTAAGTCCATCTTTATACTTGTACCAGTATCCATTGTATGTTTTCCCACTCGTTGTCGAATTACTAGTTGAGTTTTGCAAGTGCGAATGCCTGCCGTCATTCGTGACAGTTGCATGGAAGGCCGAGTGAGGCTCAGTCTGGCCCCGGGCGCTCTGTAATTATTTGCAAAGACAACTATTATTCACTGTTCAGAGCAGTGTTCGGGCAAGCTCTCTGGTATTTGATGGCGGGTGCTTCCCCACACCACGCTCCCGTTAAATATTTCCACCGCCGAGCTCCGCTAAAGTCGTGTAGTTATTCAGATTTAATAATGTAAGAATGCAGACATGTATACGGCGGCATCGCGCGATGCATTTAAAACGGCCTGCACACCCCCCAAAACGCCACCCTTCCCTTAATGGTGATTACAGAATAAAACGTTGCATAATTCCCGATACTAAATCATACTTGCGGACAAAATCGGAACAAACGATCCCAAAGACACAACAATTGCGTTATTTATGCCCGAAAGGCAGTACTAATATCAACTTCACCATTCAGTATTTTTTTCAATTTATACAAAAATTCATTTTGCTAATTGACCCGATGTGTTACTTGCTGAATAACTATGCCCATACAAAACATTAAAGTGATCTCCATTATTCGAAATCAATTCGAAACCTGCGCTGCACTACTAAAAGAGCAATATCGTAATTCACAAGCTTGCAGTGGCTGCTTTTGAGTAAAAAAAAACAATTAATGAAGAACAATAACCGCGAATGCGATATGCATGACAAAGGCGGAGTGAATTGAAGAAGTCTGCATGAGAAAGCACCCAAATTAAAAAGATGGTCGGCTAGCGGGTTTTCCGGCAACAGAAATGATGAAAATAATTACGAGTAGAGAAAAAAAGAAACGAAGTCATAGAAAACACATTGGGATTAATTATTATGATACTTGCAATGATGCTAATGCGAAATAGAAAACTTCGTTTATCTTTTATATGGTTTGACTTTTATTGGTATTTATTGCGGGTGGCAAATGGCAAAATACACACTTACTCGTATTTTGTTGAAAGTATTCTATTTCCTTTAAAATTGAAACATTTTACATTTCCTAAGTTTTAAATTCAATACTCCACCCTTAATTTAATATTTACAATTTATATTTACTATTTGTAGCTCATTTAGAAAATTATTAGTTTAATTTTTTAATATTATAATATGCAAGTGCAGTTCGTGTACATGCGCAATAATGTGCCTAATTTATCGTTTAGTACACAGATAAATTTCAATAATGCAGTTATAACTGTGTGAAATTTGGTGGATGCGCGGGGATATTACGCAACCAATCGAATTAATTTTATTGCAGTAGTTAACAAACAATAACATTTACTATTAAATTATTTAACTTAATTTGGAAAAAATAAAGATAAAAACATATCGGTTAAAGAAGTGGTTTTGTGCCATCTGTTGCTGGCTTAGCATGATGGACGGTGCAAGATTGGCGGTTGATCGATTGACGACACAGTCCCCTAACTTTTATAAAATACCAAATCTGGTGCCCCAGTGTTTCCTAAACCGTTATAAAGTGTCAGATTAGTGTTCCTTTATCGTGGCATTTTTCTTGTGTCGAACTGTTTTAATTTTCAGTGACGAGAAAAACGATGTCGTTTTCTATGTGGCGTCTTTTTTGAAAACATTAAAAACGCAAAAGAAGGCGTCTTTGAGTGCAAGATGAGAGGCGACATCTCATATTAATTCCGCCCTTGGCCATCCGTTGGAGATTAAAGACGTTCCATCTGCAAAGCAGACAGATCACGATGATTAAAAGTCGCAAGGAAAACATTACAAAATCGATGATTATTTTTTAAAAGATGATGATGCAGAGACTTTCTAAGAGTGCTAAGTTAATCGGTTTGCTTTTTAGCCAGTGTGGTGTAAATTATCAGCGTGCCAGTTTGTAATCTTTGATTATGTACAACGACGCATAATCCCAAGTAAAGCACCTTAAGAAGAGGCACCAGGCGTTAGTCGTCAGCTTACTGAAGCTTGGTCTTTGCTTCAAAGTCGTTCTCAGCTACTTACAAGCTATTCGAGAAGATTTAACCGCGTTACAAGATAACCGCATCTTTTACGCAAGAAAGAGCCGCGAGAGAAAGAAGAGACGAGTTTTGGATACCTTGCAGGTGCAGCGAAAAATAAATACACCATTTAATACAAACTCAAGTTTTAAGTTCTTTTATGCAAAAATGATTCGGTATATAAATAAAAAACCTTTCACGAAAATTATTTTAATATGGTAATGTTACTAAATAATGTTAGTTCGATCCTAGGAAAATGTAAAGTAGATAAAGGAACAACTTACCAAAAACCAATAAACCTCAAAGTTCAAAGGTTGAATGTGACAAGCGTTCATTAACTGTAGTAATGAGAATTGACAGATTAAACTACTTGCAGTTCAACTTTGTCTATAAGAAATAGGCTACAAAACACTATAAAATGTAACAATAAGTTATCGACAAAAAAAAGAAGCAAATTGCAAATCTTTACAAAAAATTTTACAACAATCTGATAGCTCAAGTTGGCAGAAAAATAATGCTTATTATCTACCAGAAATTTTTAAAACATAACTAAAGCGTAATTCTTGTCTAAGTGTGTTACTAGAATAATATTTTTTTCTATTTCGGTGTTAGAATAAGTCTATTCCAGCACCCAAATGACGCCAAAGTCGTTGGCGTTAATTTAATTTTAGTGACGGACTTTCTTCACAATTCATTTCCAAATGTGAAAATAAGAATAATTTTTATTTTTTACAGCCGCCTAAAATTATTCCACATAAATGTCGCCAACCGTCACAAAATTCTCTAGAAGAAAAATTATAAAAATTTTCGTTTTTTAATTTATAAAATGATATAAAGTGGCAAAATAGAAAAAATAGTATAAAGCACTTGTTGCAGAAGGTTCTTCAAGCACTCATTTGTTCCTCAACTCGCTGCTACGCGGCTCGGAATTTCGGAATTTCAAATTTGTGCTTGAATAGATAGATACCTTCTGCAACTTGTACTTTAATATATTTTTCTATTTCGGTGTTAGAATAATTCCAGCACCCAAATGACGTTATTTGAGTGCTGGAATAAGACGTTGGCGTTAATTTAATTTTAGTGACGGACTTTCTTCACAGTTCATTTCCAAATGTGAAAATAAGAATTATTTTTATTTTTTACAGTCGCCTAAAATTATTCCACATAAATCTCGCCATTTATAAAATGATATAAAGCCGCAAAATAGAAAAAATAGTATAAAGCACTTGTTGCAGAAAGTTCTTCAAGCACTCATTTGTTCCTCAACTCGCCGCTACGCGGCTCGTTTCGGAATTTCAGCTTTGTGCTTGAATAGATAGACCTTCTGCAACTTGTAGTTTAATATACTATTTTTGAATACGCTCCCAAAAATACCTATTTTGCGGACTATTTGAGTTCACAAAATGAGTCTTTTCCGGACTCAATAAAATGGTACGCAAAATGGTTATTTTAGGTACTCAGTCCGCAAAAACAGTTTTTGCGGACTAAAAAATATAATTGGTTCCTATGGTAAAGGAATTTTTTTAATTAGTAAGAGGTGTGAATTCGTGTTTTGGGAGCTTTAACAAAAAAAATCTTGTATGCACCACGTACGCAAAAGGTTTTAGGTGACTCCTCTCATTAAAGACTCGGCTCCTACGTCGCCTCGTCATTAATTACGATTCGTTCCCTAAAACCATATTTTGCGTACTTGATACATAAATTGCTATTTTACCTCTTAACTTCCTTTAAGTGGTTATTTCAAATGTTCCCATCAACTTTACTACTTGAATTTTTCTGTATTTTTAAAATATTGGAAATGAAGAAACAAAACTACTGCTTATATCTTAAAAAACCAATGTTTTTGAAAAGTTCTTGTTATTATATTTTTATCCGAGAAAATAAAATTTGTTTATTTGACAAAAAATTGTTTAGTAAATAATGCTGCAAGCTATACCTTTGTTGTGTCAAAAGACAATATTGGATTTTTTTTTTAGTTGTTTTTATGATAAATAACGGGCAAACGACTTTTTTAAAAAGAGTTTACTTTTAAAAATAATAAGTGTTAAATTACTTGTTTTACTCGTTGATTTCTTTAAACATTTTTTTTTTACTTTTGTACTTTTATTTTATTTATCAAAATGGACAAGAGGTATGTAAAAATTGAAGCATTAAAATCATCTTTTTTTGATTTTAATGTTTTTATTTGGTATTGATAGGAAGGGATTATTTGGCCACTTATTGATGAAACAAATTACACGTTTTCAAACTAAAGACAAGAGTTGAAATGTTATAACGGTAGTTTTTGCAGTTTTATGGATATCTGGTCATGGCTGCAGGAAGTGGCTCTGTTGATCGTAGTGTGCAAAATATCAGCAGCAGGCAGTGACTTCCTTGAGGTAAGTCCAGTTTTGTTAAAACCGTTTAGAGAAAAAAAAGAGCGTTTCTCATCGGTTGCTCGGCCGACGTAATTAAATTCCCTATCAATTCATCAATTTTACGATGCAAACGTTCCGTAACGAAGGCGTCGCCGTCGTCGCTCCACAAATATTATGCCACTTTCAAGGTAAATCTTGCGTTTATTAAATCAACTCGAACAATGAGTTAATGCGGCCCAGTTTTCACAGGTCGGAAATTAAAGTGTTTCATCACTTCGTTCGACGCGCGGCCCCTCTGACTTGCTCGATAATGAGCAGACGTTGTGAATGCTAAATTTTTAACGTTATCGGACGTCTTTACAATTTACATTCCACTACAATTTATTTTAACCTGCATTCGGGCAAAATTTGCGGAAAATGTACGAGACAAGCCTAATGGCAGGTTGTTCAAGAAATTCTCCCTTATCTAATCATTTAAGTGAAAAATTTCAAACTAAAGAAATTGTTTTAAAATAAAACAGTTTAGTGCATTAGGGGTGATCCATTTAATTCGTTGTTTTTATGTAATTCAATACGCACGTGTGGTCGTTTAGTCTTTTTTATTTTATGTGTAACATCACATTTTATGATGGGTTTTTCGTTTTTAGTACGATGTAAAAGTTGTTCGAATTTGGTACAGCAAATATAAGAGGAGCACATCATATATCGGGAAAGGGTGCAAGTAAATAACCGTTTGCATTAGGGAAATGTACACGTGGAAAAGTAGAGGGCGCGAGACGGAAGGACCTTACGGGATTTACGACCACTTCAAGCGATAAGTCACACCAATAAGGCCAAAATGTATATTGCGCCGCTGGGGCCATCGAAGAGTCCAATATTTTCATATACCGGGGAAAATACATTAGAGGATGAAGAAGCAAAATTATCCAGAATAAATTTCAATGCAGGGTTATAGCAGGGGTTTAAAATTTTTTATTTTAAAATTCAAGTATTTACGAGGTCACGAAATTGTAAAAGTGTCTTCCACGGAACAAAACAAGGCGCGAGAATTAATAATTAATCGACCTGTAATCGTTATTCTTTAATTCTTTAGCAGTTTCAAAATAATAAAGAAACATTTCAGTTTTATTGCTAGCGCTCCTAAATGGTCAATTTTTGTGTTTTAATTTAGAACAAGAAGATTAATATTTTGTTGAAATACGCACGTTATCTATTGAAATACAAAGTAATATGAGAAAATCGGAGAGTTGGGTAGTGTATTTTCGAAACAATAGCAATCAAGAAACTTTTGATGAATATCCAACTCAAACAAGAGAGGAATGTAGAAATCACTTTACACGAATGTCTATAAATAAAATAATAAGAAAAAAAAACAAGGAAGAAATCTAATATTTATATAAATTTTTAATAACTTTTGTGATTTGTTTTGTCTCTTTTATTTAACTTTGTCGCATTTTTGACTTGACGATTACTGAAAATGTGTTTCCTACAATTTTTTTCTCATTTAAAAGTAAGGACCAAAATAAAGATATTCGACTTTTTTTTAGTATTAAGTAACATTTCTGTTGCTTTTAGTTTAAAAATTCATCCGTTTGGACGTCTGCAGTTTGAAAAATGTTCATGAAGAACGCATGCACTCCTTGCAGCTTTCCTTATGTTAAAAAAGCGTTTCCGATTTATCGATGGACTCGAGTCGGTTCCGCAGTTTAAACTCGATGTAAGTTTTATGCAAAAATAAGAGCCGAGAAACATCTGTTGCTAAAAATGCGGAATATTAATTCTAATATCCGCGCGTTTAAATATTGCCCATAAACTGTCGGGAGAGATGGCGGCCTCTGGAGCTTTTTATTTTCCTATTACCGACGGCTAAATTATTGTTTTACTTAAGACTCGCCTGTTTAATAATTGATAAGATTACACGAACGGGGGTGCCGCTGGGTGGATGGCGTGTGCTTCTCGTTTGAAAAATAAACAGCGAGAAGGAAGCGAAAACGCAACCCTCTTCAATAATAACGCATCACAGGTGGAGAGAGGACAAAAGGAAACTGGACGAATAACAAATCTTGCACTGAATCGCAAGAGTGAATCCAAAAATAGTTTAATAACTGCCTTTTTTCTAAACTCTATTATTATTTGGCAATATTTGTTCGAAAACGTAGATATTTATTATCTGCTTGCAGAGGGCCATCATTGGTGTCGAGGCGCTAAGTGTTCGACTTGGAAACGCCGTCGGTAAGGGGGCTAATGGAAGGGCCTCATCCCCGACTCCCGGCCGCTAATATACGCGACCGACCTAAAATACGACGACGACAAGGCGCACCTACAAGTTAATTATACACATTGGCGACGGCGTAGGGCCGCCACCAGCGCAATTAGAATTGAACAGCTCGAAAAGCGGCTCTAATTCTGACAAATGCACCGCGAAACTCTGACGTTTGTCTAATCAGGCCATGCCGAGGAAATTCGAAGCGAAGAGGATTTTTCAACATCGACGGTCCCGAAATGGAAGCGATCTATCCTAATTATTAACAGGGAGAGGGTGATGCTGATTTGATTGATATTTGCTACTGTGTCGATGCGTTTCGCCTCAAAAAATGAGAGAATGAAAGAAAATCAACGAGAGAATCACTTTCCAAAAGTTTGAACACGTGGCTTGTATAAAAACTAAAAATTGCATTTTGTTTATATTTCATACTAAATTTCAAGAGGAATAGTTTTGTCAAAATTTACAGCTCGCCTGTGGCATGAAATAGCAAACGCCAAGTTTTCTAAACAAGTTTCACCCCAGTAAACCCGACATTTTATAAACCTAAAAGTTAAATTTAGGTCACGTGGCGGTATCGAGCGTCAAGTCAGCACCATTAGAGCTATTATTTATCGTAAACGATTGTAATATTCGGGCAGTTTACCGTTTTCGAAAGAGACGAATTTAAGGAGATGAGGAGGCGGCGCCCCTTTAGCCCTTACAATATCCATAGTTGTAGCGGGCGACATCTTTGTTCGTAATCCTTTTCATTAATTGGATTAGAAGATGCCGGAAGGGGTATTAAGTGACGGCGTTTTCGCCAACCGCATATTCAACAGTTATCCGCATCTTATATACCAGAAACCACCTTTTGTTGTCTACCTGCTTAAGCTCGAAATTATTCCCGAATTAAAATTATTTCGTTCCCTCTTGCAGAATATCCGGCCGAAAGCAGACAATCCGCAACAACTGAATGACTTCTTAAATAACGTTCTCGATCACAAGAGCGATTTCTACTTTGTTAAAGAAGTTGCAAGGAAATATCAAAAAATGAAAAAGGACACTCATCTCATGGACAGTCTTGACGAAATTCCTCACTCTTTTGACTATGACAATGTATTTCTACCACTCTAAACTTGTTCCATCTAAACCATGAATTTACAGGGTTTTTCTCGTAGATACAAATTTGATAATAAAAGACACGTTCATCATCATCACAAAAGACTCAAAAATATAGGTTTTATACAACCCGGTTTTCCCCGAAATAAAGTGCATCGAATCAGAAGAGCAAATTTCGAAGAACAAAACAAAGAAAAACGCACACCGTTGGAAATAGTAATGTTAGAAAAACCCCAACAAGATACAATCCATAAACGTATGCCGGTAGCAACCAGTATAGAGGAAACAGAAGTCAAAAGAGAAAAACACATCCCTTCAAACATATTTGTAGACCCTGAAGCTGAAAGACTTGAAAAACGCTCGCCGAAAATAAGCGTTGAATCTGAGGGTGAAACGGGCGAAATTAACGCAAAAGGTACTAAAATAACCACAAAAGAAAAAAAGGAAGCAATGGACTTCTCAAATGAACCTGTTCATAGAACATACAAAAGTAATCCAAAAAATCGTGTACAAAATGATAATAGAAACAAACAAAGTGATTTCTACTACGTCGATTTAGGAAATGCTGCTGAAAAAGCAATGGATCAGGATGAGAGGAGGAAATATGGGTGGACACCCGAAAGGCTTTATTATCGTTCCGATGATAACAGAATGTACCCCCGGCCATTTAATACAAAACCAAACGAAGAAAATCTTGATTATCATTATGAAAATCCTTCGCATCATTCGTTGAACGATGAAATCGCGTTTGAAAAAGCTCTAAGTTATGAGCTTAATCCTAGATATGAAGAAACTCGAGGCAATAACAACAATCCAGCGGGGAATAATTTATACTCTGTAGATGAAGGAAGACCTGATGTTATAGAATCGGTTCATCATCAATTGCCTCAAGGTTCTGGAAGATTCGATTATCCAGATCGAGAACAAGTCTCTAATGAGAGATTTTTTCTTAACAGCAAAAACGCCATGCATGAGGCTGACAGCACAACTGCTGGTACAACTAGTACTACCAACTCTTTTGAAGACAGTGGCAAAAACGAAGTGAAACATATCGGAAACGGATTTATCGAAATAACAAAAACTAAAAGAGAAATAGAGCAGGAGGGACTGGTAGATAGTAACGAAAAAAATGCTATGTCTTTTAGTGGCGAAAATGTGGAAGAAAAAAATAAAGGAAAAACTAAAGACCAATCATCGATAATGTTTAAACATTCACTGCATCCTCTTAGAGTGAGAGATACAGATAAGGTGGAAGACCAATCAGTTTCTGAAACTGGTGAAACTAGTCAAGACGAAACGTTCAAAAGTCGTAAACTGCAATTTATTGACGCACAAATGGCAAATCTTTACGACCAAGACGAAAATTACGATGATATGCCGAATCGGCCCAAGCGTGATTTCCTCGATGCTTTGGGTATGAAGAATGAAGAAGATTATTCCGAAGATAATCCGTATAGAGATGAAATGAATGCTAACAATACTGATGTCAATAATGATACACACATTCACAAGCATACTACCACCGGACGTTGTGAGGCAATTAAAACAACTACCCCATGTCCCCAAAAAGAAGACATCAAAAACATTAAAGACATTTTAGAAGAACCAAAAGGAATAGCTGCACAAAAAAAGAAGAAAAAGGACAAACGAATGCAGTTGCAGAAGCGGTTGACACAATATGAAGATTTTGATGATTTATTAGAAAGAAGGATTAGAGATACAGACGTTGAAACAAAAGTTTTTGAAAATAAAGACAAAATTTATAATCCGCACGAGTCCGCCCGTAATCATAAAAATGTCAATTTTATTCAAATGCGACATGAACGAATGTTTCCAAATCGGGCGAAATATAGCAAAAAAGAAGTCAAAAAGTCGATTCCAACTGATCACCGAATTCATAAGAAAGAAGATACTGACTGTTTAGCAACTCGAGTAACAGATATTCCGGAAGTAACAACCGAAGGCGGAAATTGTTCATCCAAAGGTGTAAGTATTTTCTATAGTTTAAAAGCATTGCTTAATTGTTTTTAAGTCTGACTATGAGAAAGTGGCGCATCAGATGGATATAGAGAACGAGAAATTGGCTCAGGTGGTGAATGGACGTCTAGCATCAAAAATAGTGTCCACAGTTTTTGATGAACTGAAGAAAAAGTCGTGTTTGAAGGCAAAATTTTATTCGGGATTGTCTAGAAAACATGTCAATTTTGCCGGAACGGTATTTGAATTGTTTAAATCGGTTAGAAATTGTCTATGTTATTTTAGATCGATTTTGATATCTTTAAAGCGAACGAAACTGAAGATGTGAGTGAAGCACGATTACTTCTTGACCAAATCACAAAAGTCCTCAATCGATTGGTTTTGAATCAAGTTAGACGCAAGTTGTGTCAGCGTCTGCCTGAAGAACTGAAAGAATATCTTGACGTGGTGCTAAATGTTAAAAATACAATCGAAACTAATAATTTTGTTCCAAATACAAACCAAGGCGATTTCTTATTTACCTACCAAGACAATAAAGATATTCCTTTCGATATGAATCGAATCCAAGAAACACTAACCCAGTTGCAGACTCTTCTTTCAAATTATCAAAATTTGAATGAAGAGTGTCAAAACCGCGCTGAACCCGTTAAGGAGTATATAGAGCAGCATGTGCAAATGTTGGAAAAAGTAAAAAGTTGTCCGAGTCATATTTGTGATAAATTCAGCGAAACGAAAAGGGACACTCCAACATCTCATGAATTGGTTGAAAAGCAACTTGAAAGTTTAGGTTTGGGGAAAAATCACGACTTTGTCCCGAATTTTGACGTAAACAGAATGGTGAAAAATCGAATGCAGAATTCGGGTTGGAAGACTGACAAAAAAAGAGAACTTGGAAAGAACGGAGACTTTAAGAGCCGACAATATAAAAAATTGCAACTTGCCGCTCAAAGGGTAAGAGAGAAGAGGGAAAATGATAAAAAAATTGCGGAATTGTTTGCTGGTAAGAAGAATAAGAAGAGATCGGTAAAAAAGCTTGACGTTGATTTTGAAGAGCCAGTGGTGTATAGTTTAGGATAAATTTTGTTTTTATACATTTATACCAAATATATTTTATTGCTGATCGTTTGTTAAGTTTCAAATCACGTCGAATCCACACCTTAAGTCTTGATAATTGTATCACGAACGTATACCTTTGGGAGAGGGTTACCGGAAACGAAAAAATCTCATCAAATCCTTGACATTCCATTAGTTCGAGATTATGCCACGAACAAACAGGAGAAAACCACAAATCCCTCTCCCTCACCTATGAATTTATCGAATGATTGCTGATCGATGGAGGTACAAAAGTTGATTTAATTATAAAGGGTTTGTTATCAAAAGATGAGTCAAATTAAGATTTCGAATCGGGCTTTATCCTTCTCTTTTGTGGGTGGTAGTGTAGAAGAAGCCGCAAAAGCAATCCATACAAATAATCTCTGAGAATGTTTAGTTCGGCTGGAAGTTTTCCAGTAACAAGCGTAACAAGCCGGAAACTTGGATTTATCTACTTTGGTTCATTTTCTAAAAATAATACCCACTGAATAACACGGAGCAGGATCGCACCTGGGTCCTTGCTTAACTATGTCTCGCTTGCAGGACAATCCCGGAACCGTTTTAACTTTGTTCTTTTTTATTATCCTCGAAATTGATAATTGATTCCCGGAGCGACACATCGGTTTATATTGCTTAGCAAGAAGAAATGAAATTCCTTACTTTAATTTAAGTTAACGTTTATGATGTCTTTACAAAATATCTAATTAAATACTCCTAATAGTTAATATTTAATAAACTAATTTGTTAATGAAAGCGATTAATAATAATAGTTGAGAAGTGAAACTAAAAGTTTAGAGCAAAAAGGCCAAAGAATCTGGAACATGTTCAAAAAAGCCATTTATTTTTATACGAGAGGGTGCTCAAATTTTTTTTTTAATTTTGTCAATTTCAGCTTTACTATTTTCAAAATAATTCATGATTTAAACTATACGTATGCAAATAATGTCCCGGGAAGCTAAACTGCTAGTTTAGAAGTTATAGACGAATTTATATCATAGATATTTTTGACTTTATACTTTAGCAATTTTCTCGATAACTATTTATCGTAGAACAATGATCTTTTCTTTATACAGAGTGTGTCAGAACTCGCGCTTCAGAGAAAAATTTCAAGTAAAATAAGATACCAGGAACATGGAAAAAATGTTTAAAAAATCTATTTGTCAAAAAATTTTGAAATTTATTTTTTGGCATTTGACATTTTTTATGTTTATTTAATAAATATTGTATACACTTTCAATTTTAAAACTTGCAATCGGCAATTTCTCTCAACTGAAAAAGTTATTAATAATCACTCAAAACCGTTTTGGTGGTTCCTAGGGGGAATTAAAATGACATGATAAGTGACACATCTCCACCCACCCTTGAATATAGTAAAAAAATGAAAATTTAACGTCTTCGTTTTTGAATAATTGGAAAAATAACTTTACCAAATAGGCTGTTGTATGACATTTTTGAACAGCGCTTGTTATGGGCTTTCCAACGATGTATCGCAAGTAAGGTCGTGCCATTTAAAATTTTCAACTTAAGGTGGCTGTGGCTTGAAGGRTGGGTGGAGGAGCGTCACTTACTATGCCATTTTGATTCCCCCTAAAAACTACCGAAACGGTTTTGAGTGATTCTCAATAACTTTTTTAGTTCTAGAGATATTGCCGATTGCAAGTTTTAAAATTGACACCCTGTATGTATAATAGTATTTTATAATTATTTACAAAAGTTTTGACAATGAAAGCCACAAATAACAGAGTTACAATTTAGGACACAGCTTTCTTGTTTCCTCCTCTAGTAGCTAGTAGCAAAAAACTTGGTATATTATTTTTCCAACAGAAATAAACAGAGTCAAAGTGTAAAACTTAAACTCTTATAACTTCAAAATTTTTGTAGATAGAATTTTCTTAACATTTTTCCATGTTCCAGGTATTTTACCTTACATGGCATTTTTTTCTAGGGCGCTAGTTCTGGCGCATCCTCTATAATGTGCTCTAACGAACGATACATATTACCTATTAACAACATTTTGGTAATAAAATAAAACTTCAGCTTTAAATTTAATCTCCAAACTTTATTTTGCAAGAATAGTGTTTAAATCAGAACGTTATTTCTCGTTATTTCTTACTGGTAGATGTCCAAGTACTGCAAAAAAATCATATCTTGTAAATAAAGCACTATTAGTTGCTAAAATCATTTACCGTTGCAAGAATGTTTGCATGACCAGAACGAACTGTAACTATTTTGACCCTTACTACAATTCCCTTTTTTAAGTTCCACACATTTTTCTTGCTTAGAATCGTAGATCCAATTAAATACCGATTTACCACAGGGATGATATATTGGATCACTTTTGCAATTTATAACACCTTGTGGGATTTCTAAAAAAAACAAACTAATCATCGATGTTGACTGAAAAATTAACTTACTAGTAACACCCCAGGCAACATTAAAAAATATGCCAACAATTACAATAGAAACCAACAACTTGTGATACATTTTTGAAACGTGTTCGACGATTCTTCTGATGAAACCGAACTAAATGTAAAAAGCGTTGTTGTTGGTATTTAAAGAACCACCAAATAAAAACCTCATACGTAGAAACATAAAATCATGAATTAATTCCGCGAGTTGATAACGCAATTTTATTAGATTTAAATGAAACATTTTTTATTAGTTTGAAGCTGGTTTTCTTCGTGCTTTAATATTAATCCTCATTCTGTAAAATTAAATAAAAATCAAAGTTTTCAACATTTTTTGTCGCTTCGAAAACGTCAAAATGACTACTTTACCGCACGAGTGTGGTAAATACCACCTTACAACAGTCTTTTCGGTTTTGTAATGTTTGATATTACTTTTGATAATATGATAGTAGGTGAAATATCAAATTTAGTTATTTGAAGCCACAATTTTAATTAATACAAACACACGGATTTGAAACTAACTGAAAAAGCTTTTGTTATTGTTGAATTTGTGAATGATAAAGTGGAAGAAGTATGAGGCAACGAGCTATTTTGTTGGGTTATTTTTCGTAGTAACATGTACGAGTCAGCCCAAGAGTTAATTAATAGTTTGTAAAACGTTGCGGTGCCGGTGCAAAAAGCCGGTTCGTCGTTGAAAAGGCGTGAGCGGAGCGTCGAAGGCGTCCCTCTAAGACAATGGCAGGGAAATGAACGGCGGCGTATCTCTCAGGAAGCATATTGTAAGCCAGCAACAAAGCGACGACACCGACGCTGCCTGCCATCTGTGTTCCGTTGGAAAACTTAAACAAAGCGCCACATAACCAATTGTCAAACCTGACGCACTATAAAACTCTATTTTTAAAAATGGAAAAGGGGATGTTTATTCCGATATAACGTTGTCGCCATACACCTAGATGCTGGTATTTATACATCTCGCAAGCGTATCGCAAATGTAGTTTTTAGAGACGATGTTACATTTACTAATCATAAAGTTCGTTTTATATTGAAACGACTACGTGACAAAACGCAGCTTATCTTTACAAAACATCACTATAGTGTGCACTTTTCGCTAAAAATACGGCTAGGAAATGTGGACGCCAGTTTATGGTGATGAAACTTGTGTATCGGCGATAAAAGTTCTGCAACCGCTGAAATTAACGAATTTCTAAAAACGGCACCGACAATGACAACTTTGAAAACCAACAGAAAACCCAAGATAACGCCGAAGTTTTCTACGGCCTTCACGAATACTTGATTAATTGGGTCTGGATGGCAATTATCCGTTTCAAATGTCCTTATTTTTGAAGAAAATAGTCTATGCAAGGTGTTCAAAAAAATATTTCAGGAGATAATGGAGGCGGTATGGACCAAAACAAACAAAAAAGTCTTAATAAACATGAGTCTACAAAGTAACGGTTTCGAAAATACCAAAAATTATCTTTTTGAAACATGTATTTGCTGTCTCTTCAAAAAAAAAACTTTGAGTAAAAATTCTAAACATTTCCATATCCGATATCTCCGAAACCGTTACTTTGCGGACCCATGTTTATTAAAACTTTTTTGATTAATTTGGTCTATAATGTTACCTCATTTTTGAGCAGCCTGTATAGTAACATTTATTTCAAGCAAACCGAATCCTGTTTATGTACAGGGTGTTTCAGAACTCGCGTTCCAGAATTTGTTTTTATGTCTAATTAATGTTACTGATGATCTTGTATATGTATTATTGTTTTCTCATAATTAAAGATACAAAAATTTTGCCAATAAAAGCCACAAATAACGTTGAACATAGTTTAGTGTTCTAATAGCCTGTAGCAAAAAAATATTTTTACAACAGAAATAAATAAGTGTAAAATTTGAGCTCTCATAATTTCGAAATTTTTATAGATAGAATATGTTTATAATTTTTTTCATGTTTCTGTAATCTTATCTTACATGGCATCTTTTTCTAGGGTGCGAGTTCTGGCGCACCTTGTATTGATACAAACTTACACAAAATTTTTCAAAAATGTATTTCTTGCATTTCTGCAACGTTTTGTACTTTCCTAAGTCTTTTGAACCTCCAAAAGTGCAAATGGTTCAATTTTGAAGTTTTTAATCCTTTCGATTTTTGTCGAAATTTTGGAAGATTTCCGGTACCCGGAGCGGTCTATTGCCAATAACTCCGGAATTATTGGCGCTAGTAGTTTTTTGTTTTATAACATTGGAAAGCAAATTTAATTTTTCAATATAAAAAAGAGATGATCGCCCTACGTTTAATAATAATCGAGAAAATTGCTATTAAATTCAAAAATATTAATTCAACTATAACTTCTAAACGGTCAAGAATTTTGCAGTTTTCTCAACCCCAATGTCATGACAACATCGAAAACAATTGTATACAAAATTCAAATGTTTAATTTCGTTGTTTCTATCTATCTTCCAAAAATTTCAAACAGTACATCAATTAACACATAATGGTATCTGAGAATGTATTTTGAGTTGCGTCCGAAAATCTGTTAGGATCTTTATATGGTCTTAATTATACAGCGTGTTTCACATAATTTTACGAGACCTGCGCCTGTAAGACGCAATTAATAATACA